GGAGCGGTCCGGAAGTCCAACCTTAGGAGAGAGTGATCTGACCATGACAAGGGCTCAACAACTATCTCCCCTATTGTCAGATCATTCTGCCACTGGCCAGAGACAAAAATTAGATCCAGCGTGTGTCCATCCGTGTGAGTGGGGGCCTGAATTAATTGGGTCAAGTCCAAGGCCGTCATGGAAGCCAAGAACTCCTGAGTTACTGCCGACGTCTCACCCGCTGATGGAAGGTTGAAATCCCCCAAGACCATAAGTCTGGGGGTCCCAGCCGCCACCCCGGCTATCACGTCAGCTAGCTCAGGCAGGGCTGCTGATACATATATATATTTAATATATTTAATATATTTAACCTCCTTAAATCCTTAATGTTGTTACCAGTCTCAGGAAAACAAAGTAATTCTACTTCTGGGTTAGACATGCTAAGACAGTGATGGCGAACCTTTTAGAGACCGAGTGCCCAAACTGCAACCCAAAACCTACTTATTTATTGCCGGGTGCCAGGTGGGCGTGGTCCACTGGGTGGGCGTGGCTGTTGTCATGGCAGAGTAGTTGGGTGTGGCCAAGGTGGGCGTGGTCACCTCAATGTTGCTCGTGGGGAGGATGCCTGTGGGGGCTGGGCAGGGTTGGGGGAGATCCAGGGGGTCTCTGGCAGGTGTGGCGGTGGGCAGGAGGCTTGTCCTGTGGGGTGAGGCGAGGCAAGGTGAGATAGGGTGGGGGTGCCATTGTCGCAGGGCAAGGCGAGGCAATGGCCGGGACGGCTGCCGCGTGACATCATCGCCCCCCGCACATAGAGGCCAGTGAGCGCATGAGGGTCCCTCAAGCGGCGCACTCTGGGGCTCCGCAGTCCGCCGCCAGCATTTCAGAGAAGCCGCCTCTGAGCTGGACGGCTAGCCAACAGCTGAGGAGGCGATGCAGTGGGTTGTGCCCGGGAAAAGGAGAGCATGCGAGGCCAGGAGGGATGGGATGGGGGGGAGGGAAAGCAGCCATGCTGGGATGCATCCAACCACATAGGACCTCGGCGAGTTAGCGGGCGGCTGGTTGAAGAGGGACAGTTGCCATCTCTGGGGCATGGTACGTGTGCCCACAGAGAGGGCTCTGAGTGCCGCCTCTGGCACGCGTGCCATAGGTTCACCACCACTGTGCTAAGACATTCCCCCCCATGACTCTGAAGTATTAACAAGAGCTGCTAAATTAGCTAGTTATATCATGCGTACTTAAGCCAATCAATGCCTCAGCCAGTGACATCAGTTTTCATAGCCTCAAATGACTGAATTGTCTCAACTCTCACACTTAGTTTCTTGTTTCTTCCCATTACCATAGTGTTTTATCAGTTTATATTCAGCCACTTCTATAGCATATGCCAGGGGCCTTCAACCTTGGCAGCTTTAAGACTTGTGGACTTCAACTCCCAGAATTCCTCAGCCTGGCTGAGGAATTCTGGGGGTTGAAGTCCACAAGTCTTAAAGCTGCCAAGGTTGAGGACCCCTGGTCTATGCAAGAGAGACAATCAACCAGCCAAAAGGGAACAAAAAGATCCAAGCATCTCTCCACCAGTAATCGGCACCCAGATTAGCATAGATTATCTCCAAAATTAACATCAGACCAACAATCAAGTGAACAATACCCCAATCAAGAAGCTGCCAAAGAAGCCAGCAGTAAGCAGCCAACCAAAGAATCTGTAAGACCACCCCCCACGAACACTGACAGGGGTAAACCATAGAATATAAACTGAAAGCAAACCGCACTCCTTGCTAGCACTGATGGTGTTACCTAGTTTGGGTAATGAGACGTCTGCAGAGAGCACCAAGGACCCCTCATTTTAATCCTCCGCTACAAATATTCTCCTTTATTGGTATATTCAGCCACACTGGTGTGATGGAACGTGCACCTGGAGAAGCAGTGGGGAAGTTTTCCCAGAGAGAAGCCCAGATTAAGAGACTGCACATTCCAGGATGGGGTAGGGGAGAAGAGGAAGAGGTCCAGGATAGCCACACCTAACGTCTCTCAGAATATGTCCAGTAGGTTAGAAGTGTATAGCTTTAATTTGGCAAGCTTCTGTTCATTAGGTGTAAGCAATTAAAGGATTGGACTTGGCTCTGTTGTCTCTGGGCTTGGGCCTCTCAGTTGGGCAGGGACGCACAATGCATTTTCCAATACATTTTCTCTGACGGCAATAATTAAGAAATAGGTGCTGAAAATCGAACTCGCATTTTATAACTCGCATAACAATCTCGCATTTTATATTTCCTAACTTTTGCAGTATGTATGTGACCTATTCATGTTTATTTGTGGAGGGGGTTATGACAAATGGTACGTACAACCGTGCACTCAAAACTGCCATATTGATTTATTTTTTTTTAGTCTTCTGCTTGCCCCCTCCAACAACCCCCCCCAACCTAAGAATCCATCATGGTCATGCCACTCAAATAGTACAAAGGAGAACAATCCATTTCATCTCTCCATATGCTGCCTTTCATTACCTAGTTCAATAGGCCTGCAGTGGGAAATAAAAAGAAATGGATTTGTGGAAGCATCATCATCTTCTTCCAATGTTATTGAGACTTCACCTAGGATTATAAAGAAGAAAATATGTGTAGGGAGGGAGGGCATAGAGCATATTGAAAAACACATGAATCTATGCTAGTACATATCCATATTGAGAAGGCAAAAAGCCTCGATAAAACCACAAAATTGAACATAGCCATAAAATGTCTTGAAGCACGATCTCTTGAAATAAGTACTGTAAAGTCAAGGAATATGTTCAATAAACTCAGCTAGAATAACTCATTTTTAAACACACTCAGAATTGGAAAATAAAAGAGAAGAGGCATACTGCATTTGTGTACAGCTTGAAAATAAGATGGAAACATGAACAAAAGAGTCTACTCACACAACAGAATGTTAAAGAGCTATATTGCCAGACAAGTTGCTCTAAATAAAAGATAGCATCTACTTACCTTACTATCCTTCTGCACTATAAACAAATTAAGGTTGAAATTAATTGCTTGACTAAGTCCAGCTTTAAGCTGAAGTGATTTGGAACTGCAGTATTTAGTTCCCAGTCCGTAAGCATTTTAAAATTGCTTAAAGTTAGCCCCAGGTAGGATTATAGCCAAGAAACTGTCATTATAATGGGTATACGTACCCATTAGCTCTTTCTGCAGATTGGGCTTGGGATAACTGTATATTTATTATAGGCTAGAAGGTGAGAAATCATTCAAGTCAAGCCTGGGGAGTAATCGTATTATTTCAGCTTTTAATTAAACAGAAATGTAATGAAGTAAAACCTAGCTTTCATGATATTACCCAATTACTTTGGGGTGATGATTCCTGCATGCTACACAACCAAAAAAATGTTACACAGCCTTCATTTAAGCTATAAACTAGTTATTCTAAGCACATCTGACTTCTTTGAATTACAGGATGTCCCAGCAGTGCTGCTGCCATACCTTTTGGGTTCCCATTCAGTGTATTCTAAAGACTTAAATTTATTTACAAATATATAGAACAAAACGGGAAACCTGAGCTAAATGCTTCCATCACAAATACTGATATTTTTCCATCTAGAAACTCTACCAGAGGGGTGGGCAACCTTGGCTCTTTTATGACTCGTGGACTTCAACTCCCAGAATTCCTGAGCCAGCATGGCTCAGCTTGGAAATCTCTCCCTTTCCCCTCAGCATGGCTGGCTCAGGAATTCTGGGAGTTGAAGTCGACGAGTCATAAAAGAGCCAAGGTTGCCTACCCCTGCTCTACCACAACAATTTAAGATGCTTATAGACTCCAAAATTGGAGCTGCCATATTCCCCGAATCCAAATCCAAACTACAGTTACTTTTTACTTTACAAATACCATATTATTTACTCATTAAATTTATTTGCAGCCCATTTCACTATCAAAAGTGACCATACCTTAGTCTTTGTTTGTGCAAGGACAATTGTGATTCTTCTCTCTAGTTGTTGAGTTTTTTTCCAATCAAGAAACACTTGACTAAATAGTTAATCCCATGGCTGCATCATAGCTAGTTACCCACTTCATGATAAGCCATAATAGTTTTTATTTATTCTATAAATAATGATTAAATATATCAACATTTTGTGAGATATAGAGAATCCTAACGGCCTGTAGTTCGGCTAATGAAAGGAATGTGTCAGGCCAGACTGGTTAAACAGGGCTAATCAATCTGAGCACTAACACTTTCCCCATAGTCCGATAATAATCTGAAACAATAGCTACTAAATTAATTGCATAAGCATTAGCACAGAATTCATTTATTCAGCAGCCCTGGACTGCTTTAAAAAACACGGCATTTCATGAGGCGTTCTATTTTCAAAATGTATGATTGATTCATGGATTTGTTTGATATGATTTGTATTGGACGTCTTCTACATCAATAGAAATACAGTACAATAAAACATCTCTAGTAAAAGAATATAGTAAAAGAATATAGACAAACAAATCATCATCATCATCATCACGTAATCAGTCTGTGATGGCTTCAGTTCATCCATCTAAAGGCTGTAAGAAAACACTTCATTCTTAATAGTTTATGGAAGATTGGGTTCAATTACTACATGGAAGTTGTTTTAAAGCAGTGTTTCTCAACCTTGACAATTTTAAGGCATGTGGACTTCAACTCCCAGAATTCCACAGCCAGCAATGCTGGCTGTGGAATTCTGGGAATTGAAGTCCACATGCCTTAAAATTGTCAAGGTTGAGAAACACTGTTTTAAAGTGTGGGTGCACCTATGGAAAATGGATAGCCTCCATCTGCCCTTTACCCCGTGAATGTTGTGGACAATGAGGGAGGAGCCATTTCTGAAGATCATCAGAACATGCCATTACTATAATGATTTTGGGAAATGCCACTTTTACTCCTGCATAGCAATCTACTTCCTCAGAGTCCTTCACTCCATTATGTACCACTAAACAGTGCTTTAGGGGAGTGGAGAGGAGGGAAACATGCTTTTGTTCACTTAGTTGCAAGCAATTAGATGTGGATTCAACCCTTTGATTTGGATTAGGGAAAAATGTCCTCTAGGCTGCTGTAACACAATAGCTTTATTTAGAGATTTTAAAAATAATACCAGTGAATGGGAAATATTATTGAAGAATTTCATTCTTGGTACACTGCTATTTTTCCAGCGAACATCTATAAACATGATCCATATGCCTAAAGTCCTTATAGAAAGGACTTAGCTTTTCTTTGTGGATTTCAGAAAATTTTAAATATGAATTATATATAAGTTGGAATGTGATAAACTGTGAAAACAAAACCAGAAAATCATCCCCATCCCCTCATCTCAAAACCGGGAGCAAACGACTAGACCATTTACATAGACACAGTGTTCAACTTGTGAGTTTTCCCTCTTTTGCTGCATTATTTTGCATTATTTAAAGATAGTTATTTTTTTAAAAAAAATCCAGTGGCTTTATGTTATTAATTTAAAACAAATTAATATGCATTGCAAGGTGTATGCAGACTTTTTTTGGTTCTTGTTGTTTACAATCAGATATTTAGCCAAGAGTTCTCTAAAGGAAATGAAACATTTTAAATTACACCCCTAATCATGCTTTAAAGAAAAAAAAATCTTCCTGTGATTATAAATTGATACTCGAAAGCTTCATGGAATAATAATTTATACATGCTCTTATTTATTAACAAGAAATACTTTTGTCAAGTGGCTTGATTTGATTCGAGGCTTCTTCCTTTTTTTTTTTTTTTTTTTTGGCTTTCCTAAAAAATGTTTTTTCCCAATTTCCAGCAGGCAAAGCAAAATACATCACATACAAATATGCAAAACTCTTGCGAATATAGTTTTTAGAAGGTTTCTATCTCATCAGCTGATTTTAACATATGACTTTAACAGAACTATAATGTGTTTTAAATGTTTATAGTGTAACCCCTTAGCAGATGATAAATCTCTTGGAAAAACAAAATTTCAAAGGAATAAAATGTTTCCATCACTGCTAGCAAGTGATTTACCTTTTTGGTCCTTTTGCATAAATTCTAGCAGGGCATAAACATACCACTGGGAGTAACAGAAATTTTATATATATATTGCTTGTGGCCCAGTATTTTCTCTTCAAACCTAGCAACACAGCTGTAAAATGGCACAAAATGTTACAGATAAAGCAGCAATAAAACCAGTAGAAGTTTGCAGGCCCTTAGTCTTTTTTGGTTTTGATTTTTTTTCCCTCTCTAGAGGAATTCAGTTTAGGAAACTAGCTAGCTCCAGCAGCTGGTTTAACTTAAGTTTATGTATTTATAGAAACATTCTGGAACAGACACCCTCCTTCTTCTCTCCCCCCCTTCCCCAACAGACACACAGATAAGGAAGCGCATTAAGTCAGTTTGTTCTACCAACTATGTCATCTGCAGTTCCTTGCATGGGTCTGAGTTTTACAAGCCTGTTTGTATTTTAGATAGCAATAATAAGAAAAAGAGTTTGGGGGTGGTTGTTTTTACCTTCATTGTTCTCCTTGGTGGCATTTATGATGTCATTGGATGAACACCTGCCGTTCTCCTCCTCTGTTAACTGGGTGACAGATTTATGTTGCAATATGGCATCCAGCTCATGAAAGAACTTCATAGTCTTTGTAGCATCTCCTGAGTTGTGGGCATATTTAACTGTTCTATATTCATATTTCAGGTTTTTATACTTTGCCCGACACTGTTTCCAGTCTCTGCAGATCCCCAACTCCTGAAGCCTTTTAGCAACGTAAATAAATATCCCTTTATTCCGTAAGGTCCCATGGAGTTGCTCTCTGATATTTTTTTCTGACCAGACGCTTAGCAAGGCTTTAACCTCCTCCTCCGTCCAGTGCCTTCCTGCTCCACTCTCCATGTTGAAAGTGACCTGGAAATGATTCACTATTTCTAGCCAAGATTGCGTTTCCTAGGAAACCAGACGGCTGATTGTCAGTAAGCTCCACAGAGATGAAAGGATCCAGTTTTACTGGCTCAAGCTGCCTGAGGGGAGTAACTTGAGAAACTGCCAAATAAGCAGGTTCCGTCTTACAGGCAGAAAAATAAAGCAGCTCGGGCAGAAATGATTGCAGAAAGTCTGTTAATCATTGGCACCCCCAAATAAGCTTGTTTTCTGCTTTGCAAAAATTAAGCCCAGTTCCAGAGATGGCATGCATTCTGTAACCTTTGTTATGCAAGGGGCTTTAAATATAATCTCTGCTCTTAATGTACATGAGAGCTCTAAGTAAGCTTTCCTCCATCTGGCCCCCCTCCAGAGGCATTGGATCACAAAACTAGCTGGGTGTTGAGGATGATGGGAGGTGTTGTCCAAGTATACGTCAGCATATATATATCCACACAAAGTTATAGGCTATAATTTTGTTTGGAATGAAAACATTTGCACCCTGATCCTCTTCAGATTTGCTAGCAACTAATGCCTTCGATTTTGCAAAATATTTGTTCGCGTTGTGGGAAGTCAGCCCTCCCAGAGAAGGAGATATTAAAAGGGCGGAAAAATATATTTCCTTGAAGGATCTTAAAGAGACAGAAAAGCCATGCCCAGTTTTCCGTGATTGCCCCAGGTCTCCCTCCCCCAAGCAGAAGCCAGCTCTATACAAATGCAGATGTAAACCATCAGAAAGGCCCCAACTAGGAGATCAAGAAGACAAAGACACCTAAAATCTGCATACCCCATCCAAACTCAAGAGTCATTAGCTCCAACACCAGGGAAGCAGGATGTAACTCTTGGGACATAATAGGACTAACCCAGGGGTAGGCAACCTTGGCTCTTTTATGACTCGTGGACTTCAACTCCCAGAATTCCTGAGCCAGCCATGCTGGCTGAGGAATTCTGGGAGTTGAAGTCCACGAGTCATAAAAGAGCCAAGGTTGCCCACCCCTCTGGTAGAGTTTCTAGATGGAAAAATATCAGTATTTGTGATGGAAGCATTTAGCTCAGGTTTCCCGTTTTGTTCTATATATTTGTAAATAAATTTAAGTCTTTAGAACCTACATTGAATGGGAACCCAAAAGGTATGGCAGCAGCACTGCTGGGACATCCTGTAATTCAAAGAAGTCAGATGTGCTTAGAATAACTACCGTATTTTCTGGCGTATAAGACGACTGGGCGTATAAGACGACCCCCAACTTTTCCAGTTAAAATATAGAGTTTGAGCAAGAGAGAGGGGGGGGGGAGAGAGAACTTGATGAGTAATATGCCAAACCAGGGCTTTTCAACCTTTTCACCGATTGTACCACTTTTAGAATATGGCAACATTCGAGTACCACCAGTCACCCAGCAAGGTGTCAAAAGCTTGATGACAAAAAAAAAAAAAAGGAAAAAAGTGATAAAGTACAGGTAGTCCTCAACTTACAACAGTTTGCTTGGTGACTGTTCAAATGGCACTGGAAAAAGTGACTTATGACCATTTTTCACACTTATGACCACTGCAGCATCCTCAGGGTCATGTGATTTACATTCGGATGCTTGGCAACCGATTCTTATTTATGATGGTCACATTATTCCAGGGTCATGTGATCACCTTTTGCAACCTTGTGACAAGCAAAGTTAGTGGGGAAACCAGATTCACTGAACAGCCATGTTACTAATTTAATCTCACTCCTTCTTTCTTTCTCTCTAACCCATCACCATCAAGAATACCAGAAAGGCACACCCAGACTCAGGTCAGAATACGTGACACAGGAAATACAAAGCCTAAAACAAGAACAGGAAACTATTCCAAATAAAAGGCTTCAGTGGGTATAAAAACCTACTTGCCACATGTGCTCAGCCCTTCTTTTCTGTCCTTTTTCCTGCCAGAACCATCTTTCTGTTTGGCTCTTCGATAAATTGCAACCTTCTTTCTAAAGCAGTCGCCATGTTGTTTATTTATCCCCAGTTTGGATGAACCAGGATGAAGACTTAATAATAATAATAATAATAATAATAATAATAATAATAATAATAATAATAATAATAATAATAATAAAGTTGGAAGGGACCTTGGAGATCATCTGGTCCAACCCCCTGCTCAGGCAGGAAACACTTCAACACATGGTTTAGAATCCTTCAACACATGGTTTTCCTTCAACACATGGTTTGGAATCCCTTTCAAAACTGTAAATCATAATTTCACACAAACACATAACCCTTTTCCTACATGCTCGAATTGCATTCACAGTGCCTTTTGTGATTTTTAACAAATGGAGTCACTCTAATTTGAATTCTGAGCATTCAGTGATGTTCAGTAATAGTTCCACTTCAGTAGTCTTCTGAGTGAATCGAGTATAATATGCTAAAAGCCAAATTAAGATCAAATTTGTGTGGAAAACACGTCTATATTCTTTTTGTATTGTCAAGAGCAAATACATGACATCCTTTACTAATGCAAGATTCATCTTAAATAGAAGATCAGATACAGCAATACTAATTTTAGTTGTATTTGCAAATTATTCAATTAAATCTGCGTTTTCTGTTTTCTATATTCAAGTAAAATGTTTTCTTAAAATATTTATTTGTATATAGAAGGTATTTTGGAAAGAAGCATATATATTGTGTAGATATATTTCTTCTATATAAATGTTTCTTTTTAAGTGTCCCCCCTCCTCCCCATCAATTTGGGTTCTGCATAACTATGTGTTTCCATTTCAAAGCATTCTCAGAGGTAATATAGTGCAATATCTCAGGTACTAATTGAGACCCCTCTGAGTATTATCATACTTGCCAACAAAGGTCCCTTGGTATTCTATAATACTTAAGAGATGTTGCCATGGCAACTAAATAACTAGCCAACAGGTTCATTTTACAGGAGGAGTTTAAGAAGGAAAGGGGAAAGGAAATGCCTTTCTTTCTCTTCCCCCACTTAAAATTGTTTAATCAAGGATTTTTTATGGAATGCTTTGAGCCTGGCATCCCTGTGAACTTGAGGTTCTTCAGATGTGGGACCTATAGTGATGCTTCATGGAATTCTGGGAATTGTAGTCCAACATGATATGGAATGCGTCAATTTTGGGAAATGGTGCTATGTAAGCTATCTTCCAAACACTCCTATGTACTATTGCAAGCCACACCTGTGTATGTAGCAACTTCTAATATAGCAGGGAAAGCAACGTCTGAGGAATAACTCGTGAACCGAAGACTGACTCCACTAAAAGCAGAGACAATAACCATGATGGAATGACCACCTCTTTGTAATTCCTCTCTGGACAAGGAAAAGATTTGAGATTACCCAGAAGTACTCCAGACCAGGGCTTTTCAACCAGTGGTACGGGTACCACCTGTGGTACATTGGCACCTGGCAGGTGGTACGCAAGCATCCTAGAAAAGTGGTAGCAGGGGAGGGGAATGAGCTGAACCGGTGGCAGCACCGCACAAGCCTGAGCGAGAGACGGCTGGAGATGCAGGGCTGTCAGGGCTCAGCGGAAGTGCCAGAATCAGCGCCAGGCTCCAGCTGGAGCTCGGCACAGATCCTGGTGCTTCTGCTGAGCTCTGAAGAAGCACCAATCAATTGGAAAGCAGCACTGATCCTGGCGCTTCTACTGAGCCCAGAAGAAGCGCCGATCAGCTGGAATGTTGCAGCATCTCCAGGGTCTTGTGATTTACATTCAGATGCTTGGCAACTGATTCATATTTATGACGGTCACAGTGTCCCAGGGTCATGTGAAGTGACCAAAACCTGCTGCAACCATCCAGCAGATGGGGGGAATAAAAATCAAACACTTCCCCACCCCACCCCCGCTGCCAATCCTCAACAGAAATGCTCACAACAATGAAAACCTCGGACAGGAGGAAGAGCGCTGCCGGGCGGGCAGGCAGGCAGGCATCTTGCTCGACTGTGGCTTGGGGGGCACTTTTTTCAGTGCCATTGTAACTTCGAACAGTCACTAAGCGAACTGTTGTAAGTCAAGGACTACCTGTACTTCATCACTTTTTTCCTTTTTTTTTTTTTGATCATCAAGTTTTTGACACCTTGCTAGGCGACTGGTGGTATTCGGATATTGCCATATCCTACAAGTGGTACAATGGGTGAAAAGGTTGAAAAGCCCTGCTCCAGACAGTTGCTTCTCAGGAGAATACTGCAATACATCAATCTTCAGCAGAATTAGAACTCTGGCACACGGGGGGAGTAACCTTTTTGCTCAAACCATGGTCAGCACCTTCAAACTATAATAGAGTTCACATATTTCCTTTTCAAATCACTTTCAAAAATTGCTTGTTAACTTTCTAGCTTTTAGTAATCTTTGGAGCAACAAATCTAAAAACAGTGGTTGAGTTTCTTTCAAGCCTTAGTAAAAGAAGCTTGAAATACAATTTTAAGGATTTTTTTTTTAAAAAAAATGGGGTGGGGTAATAAGCAGTAGAAAAGGTAATTAGAATTTTGCTTTTGGGAAGTTACATGTCCAGATGAATTTGAAATAAGGTTTTGGAATTAATTATAAGAATCCTACCCATGGGAAAACACTTTTGTTTTTAATATTTTTTTAAGGCTTTGACGGTTGAGTGCTACGGGGAACTAGAAGGAACTAAAGATTACAATTAAAGGAGAAGAACACCCAATTTATAGATGCAAAATAAAGTAAAATATTTTAACTTATTGGATATATTGAAGGATACTTTTCAACAATGGACCCAGAAATTAATTTTAAGAGTGTCTGCCTCTATAGATACACTGTTTAAAAGGTATTATGGAAGAGGAACATGTTTTACCTGACAATTTTGAGACTGATCTGGAAGTAGATTTTAAAATGACAAGCTACAAGAATGATATGGAGAAAGATCTTGCACTAGACATAAAAAATAAACTGTCTGATGATATCCTAATTGAAAGGGATAGACACATAAAAAAAACCAAGCATGTAACCTGGATAATTTTCCTTTATTGGATTTACAAATGAGGTTTGTTGAAGCTTTGAAGAATTATGTGAGAAGGGACAAAGAAAAATGGAAAGGAACCAAATTTTAGGACATTATCTGAAGGGACTAAAGCTCGTGATAGTTAAAAATAATAGGAAGGACTATATAGTTGGTTCATTTGACCAGGGTTAAGATAGATATGATATCTCTGGTAACCCTTAATTGACTTTTGCTGATCAGGATTGATACGATAAGGAGAGTTTGTTTATAGATAAGGGATGTGGGAAAAACAGATAATTTGTTGTCTTCTAAGTTACTAAAATTGTATGTATTGTGATGAAGGAGGAACTCCATTCTTACATACGCTTTTTCTTTATTATATGCTTATTTTTTCCTCCACCTTCTATTTTTCTCTATTTTTTTAAATTTGGTGTGACTTTTCATCTTTGTAATTATACATTTTAATAAAATTACTATTAAAAAACAAATAGGGAAATATGTAGAGGATGCCTTTTCAAATTCTTTCCAACTCCTTTACTGTTCATAGTCATTGGAAATGGATATCTTCTTCTGTGTAACTAAATAATGTTGGTTCATCTTCTCCTGTTCTTCCTTTATAGTATCTGTATGTGTGCATATACATTCTTGCGCTGGGCCTGTCACCAGGAAGCAGGAAACAATGTTAGAATGAAACAAAACACAACTTTCCAAGCCCATAGGGGAGGCCTGCCAAGAGTAATTTTTGGAGTAAAAAAATAAAGTTCTTTGCTGATCATTTAAATTTAAGTTTAGTTTTCATGTGCATGTTTCTTTTAACCAAGGACAAAAAAAGTTAATGGTAGTCTTAAATTCTGATATGATAGAGATTAGTTCCAGGGAATCTTTCATGGAAAAACATGATATTTGACGTATGATAACACTAGGGTTAGGAATAGTCTTTCTTGAGGTCTGTGGCTCATTATGTGTTTTTTTTTAGCAGTTGGGGGCCATAAATGCCATTAAAAGGCGGTGTCATGATTCTAGGTGCTCAGATCTTGGGATTCTGGAATATTTTTTAGTGCTTAAGAATTCAGAATCCTAATTGTCTTCTCATGAAAACCTATCCTTTTTTAATAACTGAGGTCTGCAGAAACAAAAGTTCAGAGGGTGTATATGGACCCCAAGATCACATATCCAACATTAGAACTTGCCAGGACAAATGGGCTCCCCAACTAAATATTGCAGTTTGATCACTTTTCTTTAAAATTCCAGTCAACTGCCTCTTTATATAGAATATTTCTTTCCATCTCCCCGTTCCCACAATTGATTTTATTTATTGTAGTTGTCCATGTGTGGGTTTTGTTTTTGTTCTAGGGGGAAGAGTTATTTTCTTACAATTTAGACAACGTTTTTGCAAATGTTGGGGTCCTCCCAACACCTGTAAAAATCCCTCAGCCGTGAATGGCACCTTCTTGGTTACATAAAGATCCAGTCTCAGAAATACAGATTCCTTACCTGCTTTTTCTTTTCTCGTAGAGGCCAAGAGAGTGCGGGAATTGTGACAAGTGATGGAGAATCGGCCCATTCTTTTAAAGTGCACAAGGTAATAATATTATCTAGTATTCCTGGTGGGGCAGATAACTTAGATGATGTTGATGAGCCATCAAATTGGTGTTAACTTTAGCGGCCACACAAATAGATTTTCTCTAGAAGGAGCTGTGCCCATCCTAGAAGAAGATGTGGCTATTACTCTAATTCGTTTTCTCTTTTAAAAATGAATGCCGGGTGAACTCAAAATATTTCAGTGGGTATATATTTGATGTAAATAAGACAGTTATCTGTGCAGGATTTTCTCAAATTTGTAATTTATAATTCTCATAAATGTAACCATCAAAATCCTACAAAGAGCATCGTAAAGTGATGGAACATAATTTTGTCACAAGAAGAATGTGAAAAAAATATTTAGAAACTGATAACATGTAGTAGTATTTGTGCATATTATAAATTGATTTAATAGATTTAGTTAAGGGGTATTTTAATCACCTCCCTTGTGAATTACGCTCCATAGGGCTACCCTTGAAGACCATCTGGAAGCTACAGCTGGTTCAGAATACAGTGGCATGCATTGGGTGCCCCGTGGTTCACTTGAGTAATCCAATGCTGTGTGGGCCACATTGATTTCCAGTTGCTTTCCCAGTGCCATTCAAGGTGTTGGTTATCACCTTTAAAACACCAAATGGCAACGGTCTAGGTTACTTGCAGGACTGTCTCTCTTCTTACTAGGCTAGATAGGGTGGGCCTGCTCCAGATGTCTTCCCTTAAATCAGTGTTTCTCAACCTTGACAATTTTAAGGCATGTGGACTTCAACTCCCAGAATTCCACAGCCAGCATTGCTGGCTGTGGAATTCTGGGAGTTGAAGTCCACATGCCTTAAAATTGTCAAGGTTGAGAAACACTGCCTTAAATGATGCCACCTGATAGGTCTTGGGGGGCAAGCTCTTTGGAACTTTGTCCCACCTTAGATCCAAAGGATTCCTATTCTTTTATTCTTCCATGGGGCTACAAAGACCTGCCTTTTCTCCCAAGCATTGGCTAGGATGGGGTTTGAGCTGGGAGGATATTTGATCTGGCACCTAGGGAGGGAGGAATGGCACTTTTGTGATTAACCATGCTTTGGGGGATTGTTGTGAGTTGCCTAGACTCATCGTACGAGATAGGCAGCCATATAAGTTTTGTAAATAAAATAAATACCAATTAAGTAGAGCTTTTTCTTCTAAATTAGCTCAAAGGGATTACTTTTACACTGCTATCCCCTGTAAGCAATATTGGATATTCTATTTTAGTTCATCCATCCCATTTCCTTTTCCTTCGCAGGGAATGGGTCTTGTTAATCACGTGTTCAGTGAAGATAGTCTGAAGAAACTCAACGTTTCAAATCTTGGAATCGGCCACACAAGATACTCTACCTCTGGAGTATCTGTCCTTGATAACTGTCAGCCGTTTGTGGTAGAAACTTTGCATGGGAAGATTGCAGTCGCCCACAATGGAGAACTCACAAATGCTATGCGACTGAGGAGAAAGGTAGGAATCTCACGAGAAAGCAGAAAAGGATAGTAAATTCAGTCATAATGGAAAGGGTTTATATCCATCTGGTAATAAAAGGATGCACAGATCATTTTAAAGCAGTGGTTCTCAACCTGTGGGTCGGGACCCCATTTGAGGTCGATCGACCATTTCACGGGGGTCACCAAGCAAGGCTGTCCGCCATTTTTTTGTCCGCCATTTTTTTCCCCTTTTCCGGCGGGTGCCTTACCTCCCTTGGGCTGGGCCAGCTGGTGGTCGGCCTGCTCCGTCTCTGCCGCTTGCCAGCTATGCCTCGGCCGGCGCAGGGGGCGGAACCACGCATGTGCGGCGCTCCCAGGCAGGGAAAGTCCTCGACTTACGACCGGTTGGGTAGTCCTCGGCTTACGACTGGTTTAGTCCTCGACTTACGACCGGTTTAGTCCTCAACTTACGACCGGTTGGGGTCGCGGCATTAAAAAGGTTGAGAACCACTGTGGTAGGCGCACACATATCTGACTGACTCACAGAAGCTAACATGTCACAGTATCGGTGAATTTATCCAAGCCTTCTGAATCAGCTTTAAAAACACCCGTCTTCGTACTTAAAGCAAGCCTGCAGCTCTAACTTTGCTTCTTTAGTGCAGGACTTCACTTAAGTTTCTGCATGTAGGGAGGCAAGAGATAGATCATACAGTGATCAGAGAGACAGCCGCTCTAGGAAGAGTGTGATAAGCACCTTTTAATGTGGTATAGCAGTGATCCAACATGCTGTTGCCTCTAGTGCAGGGGTGTCAAACTGCCGGCCTTCAGGCCGGATGCATCATAGCGAAACTGCGCCCCATCCCCATTGCTGGCAATGGCAAAAAAAGTCACGATACGTCACGACACGTCACGTGATGTTGTGAGTTTGACTCCCGTGCTCTAGTGAGACAGCTGACGTGTATCTGGGCAGCTCAAGTTGCTTACTATTTCCCATTCTCTGAAAAATGGAAGACCATGCAGATTCCTTTTTTTTTAATTATTAAAGTTGCCAAAACCTTCTGTGTTATTTTCCAGTAACACAGACTTCACAGTCAAAATGTTTTAAGTTTGAAAAAAAAAAAGCCATCTTAGTTACGACTGGAAATGGCAATTATTTCCTGATCCAGTCTTCTGTGTTTTTGATCAAAGCGTATTTGTTATTGTTAGTATAGAAAGAAATTTTTCAGTGCCTGTTAAGAATGCATTATATAACCTAACACAATGCTACACTATGTTGTTAATATGTTATATTGATAACAATCAATGCACTAGGTGCTATCTAACAAAATGAAATTCAATGGTGAAAAAAGTAAGGTTCTACATTTAGGCAAGAAAAACCAAATGTACAGGTATAGTATAGAGGGTACCTCGGAGTCCTAGTGGACAATAATTTAAATATGCGCCAGCCATGTGCTGCAGCTGCCAAAAAGGCCAACACAGTGCTGGGCTGCATTAACAGAGGGATAGAATCAAGATCACGTGAAGTATTAATACCACTTTACAATGCCTTGGTAAGGCCACACTTGGAATTCTGCATCCAGTTTTGGTCACCACGATGTAAAAAAGATGTTGAGACTCTAGAAAGAGTACAGAGAAGAGCAACAAAGATGATTAGGGGACTGGAGGCTAAAACATATAAGGAACGGTTGCTGGAATTGGGTATGTCTAGTTTAACGAAGAGAAGGACGAGGGGGGACATGATAGCAGTGTTCCAATATCTTAGGGGCTGCNTGGAAACTGATCAAGGAGAGAAGCAGCCTAGAACTAAGGAGAAACTTCCTGACAGTTAGAACAATTAACCAGTGGAACAACCTGCCTCCAGAAGCGGTGAATGCTCCAACACTGGCAGTTTTTAAGAAGAAACTGGACAGCCATTTGTCCGAAATGGTATAGGGTTTCCTGCCTGAGCAGGAGGTTGGACTAGATGACCTCCGAGGTCCCTTCCAACTTTATCATTATTATTATTATTATTATTATTATTATTATTATTATTATTATTATTATTATTATTACTATTACTATTACTATTATTATTATTATTATTATTATTATTATTACCAACTTTTGCATCACTTTTTGCATGCTGAATAAAGAGTTTGCCATCTGCAAAGAGTGCTAAATTAATTGTATGGTCATTTGGATTCATTTAGCTGTTCCCACTGGTACTCTGCCGACTTCACTCACACACACACACACACACACACACACACACAGAGAGAGAGAGAGAGAGAGAGAGAGAGAGAGAGAGAGAGAGAGAGAACCTGTACTATAATTACCTATAATAATCCTTTGTCTTTTGTTATGCAGCTAATGCGTCATGGAGTGGGACTGTCTACCAGTTCTGATAGCGAACTGATCACTCAACTGTTGGCATTCACCCCTCCTTTAGAGCAAGATGACACACCAGACTGGGTGGCAAGGTAAATCATGTGCCTCATGAGAAAAGAATTAAAATCAATAACAGACCTCCATTTACGCAAGGCCCCTTTTGCTGGAATTCTTGAAATAAAGAAGTGTATTAAATAAGCTTTTCCATTTCAGGATTAAAAATTTGATGAATGAAACACCCACTTCATATTCCCTTCTGATGATGCATAAAGACATTATTTATGCAGTTCGTGATCCCTATGGGAACCGTCCTCTCTGTATCGGACGCCTTGTTCCAGTAGGTGATATCAGCAGGAAAGGTACGGTTTCCCTATGTGTAATAAACCCCTTTAAGAACTCTAGTTGAAAGTACATTTATTTAAAAAAATACTCTTACCTTTCTCAAATTCTTTTTTTTAATCAGTGAGCCACTTATCTTTCACCTCAAAAATGTGATCGCTGCATACCGTTATGGGAAGGCGCGTATCTTTACGTTTCTGACCTATTCTCCAGTGAAAGTAACACGCAGTTATGTCCTATATTAAATTAAATTGTAAAGGAAAACATATGCAGTGGGTATGTTTATGATTAGTCTGTGACCACTGGAATATTTGAAAATAAATATTTTTAGTAATCATGACAGAGAATAAGAACATGTTCAAATGTAGCGATGTAAATTTTAATATAAATACATCGATCTACTTCCACAAATATTTTCAGATTTATTTGAACTAGATTTAAATTTTGGAAAAGAATCTTTGGTATCTAGACTAGCTGGTCATCTGTGACATTAGTTATTTTCACTCTTTTCACTGTATAATTGCTGTAGACAGATCAATTTTTCATATTGCCATCACAGCGAAGTGTAAATAACATATTTTGTTAGTGAGCAGGCAGTTTGTTGTGTTTTGGAAAATTCCAGTGTACTCATTCTATCCTACAAATGTCTATTGCCTTTTTAAGTAGGTTTCTCCACCACTCTTCAGTTTTACTATAGAAAACAGCAGGTTGCAGTCACAGCAAATGTAGTGTGTAAAATTAAACAGACAGACATGAGGTTCTTAGAATTGTTAAGACATTTCTTTAATTATTATTGAATTTATTACAGGAAAAATTAATGCTGAAACTGAAGGCTGGGTAGTTTCTTCAGAATCGTGTAGCTTTTTATCTATTGGTGCAGAGTAAGTTCATAATTCATTTGTTTAAAGAAGAATTAAAAGCAAATCAATAATTTCTTCATTGTTTAAGGAAGAACTGAGCACTGCATCTACCACATTGGCGTACAGCAATATTTAGTTTTAAGACAATAAAGCATTTGGCCTGAAAGTCCATATTGCACTGAATCACTTTGCAATGTTGAGATTAGGGCATTTCTTAAAAGATAAATAATGAAATACTTCATCTGTGAAAACTATTAATAAACTCTGAATATCGTGATTTATATATATATATATATAGAATAAGAAAATATTTTATTTGTTCTTGAAATTGACTGCTTCATTTGCATGCTCAGAGAAAAATGGATTCTTTCTTTTTTAACTTATTCCATTTTTCACTTCCAAGGAAAGAAGGAAGTTATTTTAGAATTTGAGAAAATAGTTGCCCTCCAATTACAAAGGTATAAGTTTAGTAAATAATAAGTGCAGAATAATTATCAAAAACATCTGACAAAGTAAGGAATAAATGTAGATTTTCAAAGACACCCTTCCTCTTTAGAAAAAAAACATGTTATTGTCTTTCCAATCTGAAAACGATATTTCTCTATAACCAAATACCAGTGTTTCTAAACAAAGCATGTACAACTATATTTTAAAGATACTATCGGGAAGTCATGCCTGGAGAGATTGTGAAAATATCCAAGTATGATGTTCAAAGTTTAGATATTGTACCAAGACCTCAAGGAGATCCATCAGCATTCTGCATTTTTGAATATGTGTACTTTGCAAGGCCAGATAGCATCTTTGAAGGTAAACTATCTCTAAATCATCTTTCATTTGGCTACATTACTTTAGATCAGGGGTAGTCAACCTTGACTCTTTTATGACTCGTGGACTTCAACTCCCAGAATTCCTGAGCCAGCTGTGCTGGCTCAGGAATTCTGGGAGTTGAAGTCCACGAGTCATAAAAGAGCCAAGGTTGACTACCCCTGCTTTAGATTTTAAGTTCTTCCAAACAAATCCTAACATTTTACTGGGTACTTTAGAAAAATGTGTCAAAACAAACTTTATAAGTGTGAATCCCGTTGTAGAATCAAGAGGAAGGCTTTCACAATGCGGGCAGAATTACATAGATCAGTGGTTCTCAACCTTTTTAATGCCGCGATCCCAATCGGTCGTAAGTCGAGGACTAAACCGGTCGTAAGTCGAGGACTAAACCGGTCGTAAGTCGAGGACTAAACCGGTCGTAAGTCGAGGACTACCCAACCGGTCGTAAGTCAAGGACTTTCTCTGCCCGGGAGCGCCGCGCATGCGTGGTTCCGCCCCCTGCGCCGGCCGAGGCGTAGCTGGCAAGCGGCAGAGACGGAGCAGGCCGACCACCAGCTGGCCCAGCCCAAGGGAGGTAAGGCACCCGCCAGAAAAGGGGGGAAAAATGGTGGACAAAAAAAATGGCAGACAAAAAAAATGGCGGACAGCCTTGCTTGGCGACCCCCATGAAATGGTTGATCGACCCCAAATGGGGTCCCGACCCACAGGTTGAGAACCACTGACATAGATGGTTATTTAACAATAGGACATCATTAGCTGAAAAGCAGTTCAATTCTTTGTAAATTCCATTGCTTTCTTTTCATAAGGGGGCATGGGGTGGGATTGTAATACTGATGGGTGGAAAGTTGTATTGTGTAGAGATTTCTTCAGAAAGAAATAGAAGAAAACACAGACGAGCAATAGCAGACAAATCAGTTAACAGCTTAGAAAGAGCAGCTTAGCGCTGCCAGGGAGAAATCTAGAAGAAGCATTTCAAACCCTCCAATGAAGCTCCGCATAATTAACTCAGTATAAATGAGGGTGGAAAGATCCTATTACCTATGGCGAAACCTATGGCATGCGTGCCACAGGTGGCATGCAGAGCCCTCTCTGTGGGCACACGTGCCGTCGCCCCAGCCCTAGGCCTTCAGTTGGGTTTTATAAGACCTTTTCACTTTAGGCCTCTGCCGCTGTGTGCAAAAAAAAAAAAAGGTCCAATCAATCAATTTCAACTTCTCACGGGAAAAAAAAAGATCTCGCAAACTTGGAATTGATTGATTGAACTTTTTAGTCCCACCCAGTCTGCCGTTATCACCGAAGCCACGCCCACCCAATGGGTCACGCCCTCCCAAAGGGCCACGCCCACCCAGCACCCGACGATACATAAGTGGGTTTTGGGTTACAGTTTGGGTCTCTAAAAGGTTCGCCATCACTGTCCTATTATATTGTAGCTTTTATGATTCTGTATTTTACCTATGCCAGCTTTAAAGATACTTTACTAAAGACTGTATAGATAGTCCTCAACTTATGGCCATAACTGAGCCCAAAATTTCTGTTGCTAAACAAGACGCTTGTTTTGTGAGTTTTGCCCCATTTTACAACCTTTCTTGCCACGGCTATTAAGTGAATCACTGCAGTTGTTAAGTTAGTAACACAATTAAGCGAATCTGGCTTCCCCGTTGACTTTGCTTCTCAAAAGGTCGCAAAAGTAATCACACGACCCTGGGACACGGCAACCGTCATAAATATGAACCCGTTGGCAAGCATCCGAATTTTGATTAGGTGATCTTGGGGATGGTGCAATGGTCCTAAGTGTGAAAAATGGTCATAAGTCGCTTTTTTTCAGTGCCGTTGTAACTTCGAACGGTCACTAAGCAAATGGTGGCAAGTTGAGGATCATCAGTAAGTATATTTCTGGCTTCCTGGACTTGCTCTTACAGGTTCTTGGACCAGGGTCTTGGATGCATAATATTGACCAACTTAGTTGAAACTTAGTTGAAACTTAGTTGAAACTTAGTTGAAACTTAGTTGAAACTTGGATAGGCAGTTCTCAGAAAGCTAAATTAAAGCGGCACCTCTCTGTAGAGGTGTAATTTCAAAAGGAAGAAGATAAAACCATGGCCAGTTCAACACAAAAACATACAACTTTTTCATTCTTCCTATAGGTCAGATGGTATATTCTGTAAGAAGGAGATGTGGCCAACAGCTTGCCATTGAGGCGCCCGTTGAAGCAGATTTGGTTAGCACAGTCCCAGAATCGGCAACACCAGCAGCCCTTGGCTATGCGCAGAAGGTACCTCTCCACACCCTCTTTGATTTTTAATTGTTATCTTTTTAAATTATTATGTATAATCCACCCGAGCCCGATACAAAACAAAGCATCAGGAAAAAATGCATGATAAAAATTTACCTTGGGTGTTCCGTTACCTTTACTCTGAATTATAATGCTGAATGAATAAATTGTGTCCCACAGAGAAATAGAGGAAATTCTACTTAATAACAGACTTTTAGCACTTGGTCTTTCCTTTGTGCGGTTCAAAGCAATGACTTATAAAGTCAGTTCATGCCAAACCAATCGTTGAGTATTTGATATGGAAAGCATTTTAATCGCTGCACCAAAAATGTACATTGATCTTTGTGTTTGCTTGTTTTCAGTGTGGCTTGCCGTACGTTGAAGTTCTTTGCAAAAACAGATATGTGGGAAGAACTTTCATTCAGCCAAACATGAGGTTAAGACAGCTGGGAGTGGCCAAAAAATTTGGAGTCTTGTCAGACAACTTCAGGGGAAAGCGAGTTGTCCTTATTGATGATTCTATTGTGCGAGGCAACACTATTTCCCCTATAATTAAACTATTGAGAGAATCTGGTGCTAAGGAGGTAAGTGAACATATCAGAATAGAGGGAGAAGAAAGGGGGAAAGGTAATGTTTCATGACTGTTCCTCTCGCAATGCTCTTCTGCTCCTAACTACTATGTATTCTTGCTACTAAGAAGAGACACAAACCCAGTGAATTCTTCAAACAGTGTCTTCTGTTCTTAGCCTTTGTTCTGTCCCCGTCCGACCCACACACCCAAACAGCCAGCCGAGGGTTAAAGACTTCTCCAGACACCACTTCACAGATAAGAAACTTGGCAGCAGCTCCGTAGCTGCCTGCCAAGACCTTTTACTCCAAGCACACAGAAACAAAAAACAATACACACAGTTTAAAACCACAGCAAACTACTTTGCCAGAGATTCAGCTTTTGTCCGTCACAGAGGTCCAAATGGCCACCACCACCCTTTTATAGCCTGTGGGGTGTGGTCCAGTGACTCAGCTTAATCTCTGGCACGTCTCCTTTTCTGCTGCGCACGTTTGTCGCTCCTACGCTGGCNTCCTCATTATCCGACACACCTGGCTCCTGGCCAATCTCAGAACCACCTGGCTCCTGGTCAATCTCTTCTCCGTCGGGAGACACCTGAGGCATTGCCAAAGAGGAGGGTCCTGGAGAGGGAGGCCTAGCCATCTCCTCTCCTTCATGTTTGGAGCCTTCTTCCTCCGATAAGAGGGGCTCACAAGACGGAGCCACAACAGCCTTATCCCTGCAGCATCTAAAGTTGGCTCCTTGCAAATTATGAAGTAATTAAAGCACTGCCAGTATCATAATAGCATTTCTTTTTTTTTAATAAATTTTTTATTGATTTTTATAATTAAACAGCAAAGATTATGATGCATTTACATACATAAACAAAAAAGAAAAAATAATCCAAATCAATACATTTTCAGAGACACTCGGCAGTCCCCGCCATGCCTCCACCCTCATCCACTTTCCTTCCTCCCTCTGACCCCCAACCTCTCCACCTTCCTCCTTACTACCTACCTACATCCCCTCTCCTTTCTTACCACCTCCTCAAGTGCAATTTGGGATGCCAGCTGAGCATCTCCTCTTATCAATACAATAAGTATTTATCTATAAAATGTAAATACATCAATTTTTAAAATTCCCCTAATCCCCTACCCCCCTGAGCTTCCCGGAACCCAATACAGGACTAACACTCAACCCATTCCATATCTAAATTACAATTTAACTAAACAAAGATAATACAATCAGTATATACATACTTTAACTCTAATAATACAATAAGTAACAACAATACAACTGATCAAAAACTATATGATATTTGTATAATTTATCCATCTTCAACATTTATAAAAACCTAAATATCTATCAACCATTTTATATAAATTTTTTCTTACATTTTACTCTTAAATTTTTCCTACACTTTCTTCACTCTCAAATCAATACTTTCAGCAAAAATCTTAAGTCAATACTATTCATAGCTGGAAAAATAATTTACTTTATCAAATATTTTAAGGCTTTCAAAATACTATAAGTTCTTTACAGACATATAATCAAATATTAAACTAATAATAGCATTTCTTCTCACAGGTACACATCCGTGTGGCTTCACCTCCAATAAAATTTCCATGTTACATGGGAATAAACATTCCCACAAAAGAAGAACTTATTGCAAACAGGCCTGAATTTAAAGACCTAGCGGGCTACATAGGTAAACATACCTTATTTTTCTTCAAGCAAAAGTTTCAGAAGGGTAGCCAGGTTAATTAGAAGATAAACTGAGTTATTGGGGCAGAGATTAGCTGTTATGGTTATAATTAATAAGGTTGTGTTGGTGGTTATTGGAGTAATTCTTTGCAGAAATTTATGGAATATTAGTGGAGCACCTGAAGGCAGGACAAGAAGTAATGGTTATTAAAGAGACATCCAATCTAGATCTGAGGAGAAATTTCCTGTCAGTGAGAACAATCAGTGGAACAGCTTGCCTCCAGAATTTGTGGGTGTTGCATCACTGGAGTTTTTTAAGAAGAGACTGGATCTCCAACTCCCTGCTCAAACAGGAGATCCTATACTAGAGGTCCCCAACCTTTTGGGCACCAGGGACCGGTTCTGTGGAGAGAGGTTTTTCCGCAGACCGGAGAGTGTGTGGTTTTGTGTACTGCCTGCGTCCCACGGATGGAGCTTTGATTGTACGGACCGGCTGCTGGCATGCCGTGGCCTGGTATCGGTCCATGGACCGGGGTTGGGGACCCGTGACCTATACCATTCTGGAGAAATGGAGGTCCAGTCTCTTTTTAAAAAATCTTCAGTGATGCAGCACCCACAAATTCTGGAGGTCTTCCAGCCTTGTTTTTCTGTGTTTTACTTTCATACACAGAGGTGTTTGTGGTCAGTTAAAGGAGGATTATTTATATGAATTTGTTTGTACTATCCATTTAACACATTGATTTTTGTGCATATATATTCTTTGCTTAATGAAGTAAGCATGTATTAATGTGTGCAGATTTACATGCACATCATTAAATAAGATGTAAGATTAGTATCAATATGGAATATTTAGAGTAACTAACATATATTTGGTCAATATTTCATTCATCTAAATAAAAGAAACAATATATTTTGCCTTATATAATTGGAAATCCAAACTGACAGCTGGTGTATCCAAAACCAAAATCTTTGGCTTAGGTAGGTCTAAACAGTGATCAGCAACCTTTTATTGCAAATTTGATGAATCAATCTAATGCTAATTGATCTAATTAAAATATCAAGTCCTTGCTTGTTCTATACTTTTAATTTCTCTTCCTGAAAACAAATTTTTACAGTTGGAATGTTGTTGGAAAATAAAACATCACTATCATATTTTAACACTTTTTTCATTCTTTAGATTGAACTATGATTAGTTCAATGATTAAACTATGATTAACAAGCACCAAGTAACCAAATCAACAGAGATCCGAGATGCAGAGATAAAAAAGATACCAAAAATATTTTAAAAAATTAAAATGTACAATATAAATTAAGGGACAGGTATTGTACATGTACAAATTTACCCTGTATGTAAAGTCAGTAGTTCCAATGGTGCAATTATCAATTACTATATTTTATTAAAGATCCATCTATAGAAAATCTTTGAGTTAAGCAATTTGGACAGTGTAAAATAGTACAGCTTCGGTGATATGTTCTTTTTCTTTTCAGGAGCTGACAGCGTTGTTTACCTTTCAGTAGAAGGATTGGTATCGTCTGTTCAAGAAAGCATAAAAGCAAGACAAGATCTTGAAAATAACCTAAAATCGAAAAAGTTCCAAAGCGGGAAAATTGGCCATTGTACAGCTTGCCTTGTCGGAAAATATCCAGTAGAGCTAGAGTGGTGAATTTTGTGAATATTATCACCAAAGGCTTAACATTTGGAACTGATGAAATGTGTTGCTGCTAACTAAGCAAGTGATCAAACCACTCACGTTTGCCTAGACCTTATTAGGAGAGGGTAAAAAAAGGAGCAAAACAGAATAAATGTTAAACAATTATGCAAAAGCGCTATAATGGGGGCAGTGGGGAGAGGGGATGCATGGGTAAAAGAAGCCAAAATCTCTTGATTCCATAGGTGGCCTAATCTTGCCAAGAAACTTTGGTGGAGATCTTCTAAGGCTTTCACTTACACGCAGGGGTAGTCAACCTTGGCTCTTTTATGACTCGTGGACTTCAACTCCCAGAATTCCTGAGCCAGCTGTGCTGGCTCAGGAATTCTGGGAGTTGAAGTCCACGAGTCATAAAAGAGCCAAGGTTGACTACCCCTGACTTACAGTAATGTTTCTTACAATTACATTATGAGAGGTTGTGAGCCATTAAGCCATCTCGCATTTTAAACAGTGTTCAATCAATTAAAAAAAAATGTGAATTTGATCTTAAATCAACAAACAGATCTTTTTAAGTTTTATTACTTTCGTCGCTGGTTTTAATCCAGCAATATGGGATTCCTGTTTTTTTTTATAGACTGACTGTACTTTTAAAGCGGCAACTTTCAGCTATAATCTGCTACCAAAGACTGAATATTATTTTTATATAGTGCTTGGCTGAGATGAGGAGCTTCAGGGAGCTGTTAAACAAATAGCATCTAATAATACCTTGAGCCTTAATTTTTTCAAGTTGCGAATCAAAGAGGAAAAAATAACCAGTTGACTATCACTTGTGCATTAGACATAAGGGCTAATTTTCCTCAATCTCTTCTTTCAAGTTCAGTGCTTAAATGTTGATTACTTTTGCTGCATGCAGGCCTTCAAAGAAGACTCCAAACACTGAAAAATTAACACACAACTTTATTTCAATTAATGATGATAATTTAATATATATTGCTGTTTTACTCAGTGGTTCTGAATAGTTTTGGGGGCATTTGGAATGAAAGCCAATTCATTATTATAATTCAGATGACACCTCTGATTTCAAGTAGCAAATAATTCTGTTCCTACTTCAAAGTTCTAACCTTTAAATAGCCTAACAAACGGGTTTGGTGTTTGATCAGAGGTAGTTAATAACTTTCCAAAGTTATAAAGTTCCTTTCCAAAAGGAAACTCTTAGGAGAAAACTCAGTCTGACTTTTAAGGTCCCGCTACCAGAGGTGTAGTTCACACCAGCCTGTTCTTTTTTTTTTTTTTTTTTGATTGCTGCAAAAATGACATGAAGGATTTCTTGCTGTGCTTAAGTCTCTTGAAAACATAAACTTGACGTTTGTTTACCCTCCCCTCTTGTTCTTTCTGTATTTCATTTATACATCAATGGAAGATGCCAAGATTCATGACCAGTAGCAAATGCGGGACTTCCTCTTATCACCCTGCCTGTAGAATAAAACAGCAAGCATCATTTCCAAATATTAATTTTCCACACATTTTGGATAATGCTTGTCAGCATAAAAACTCAAATGTTTTCTGTGTAACTGAGGAAAAACTATTCTGTGGGACTGTCATACAAGTCAGGTCAGATTGCTGATTTAAGATGTAGAGAACTTTTTTCTCATTGTGGCTGAGACTATTGGGTAACACGTTGGAGGTCTCAAGACCCCTCTCCCAAAAATTTTGGGAATCTTTTATTGGGTTCTTGATGTGTACCCTATGCTTCGTTTCTGCAGATGTTTCATTATTACACCAGGTAATGCTGTCAGTGCATGGACCTGAATCTGCACACCTGATCTCTGTCTGCTGCTTTGTTATTTAAGCATGATGGCTACTCTTGTTACATCTGTGTTCCATGGGACACTTCACCTGGCACATTTCCATTAATTTGATTGGATGAAAGGGGGGGGCTCCAACATTCTAACAAATGACCCTCCCCCCCCCAAAAAAAGCAAAAAGGGTAATTGTTGGCCATGTAGCATTGAGGTATGTGGCTAAG